AACACAACACAATATTTTTAGTGCCATATGCTGTGATATCAGAGTAGGACAAGCAAATTTAATCTGTCTGATGAAGCTATATTCAAACATCAGAAAGGAATGAAAAAGCAGCTGTGCTATCCTCCATGTTGTTATGTCAAAGCAAGCCAGAAAATCATACACACTTTTATGTTTTTCCCTAAGATTATATCATATTACAGAAAGAACGGCATGCCGTAATTTCTACTGCGTTCTCTTTTCCCCAAATGAAATTTCTCTAAAGCTCGTCTCACGCCCATGTAGCTTTCTCCAAAAAGCTAGCTCCAAATGAAGTTATGGAAAGAAGTTGTACCCTTTCAGATACAGTTTGGAGACTCAGTGGCAACATACTTTGTCATTCCTGTACCCTTTTTGTTGCAATTTTGGAGTACAACATGTCTCCATTATAAATATATAAATACAATATTAAAAGCTATAATCTTACTGCACAGGAATGCTTTCTTACTACAAAGGGAATGCTTTCCCTTTGTAGGTCAAAACCTATGTGCTTCGATTGCTGCTAAAGACTCTAACAACGAAGAAAGTATTATAGATTGTCGTGAAAATTATTAATACTATACTAAGTTAGGCTTATGCAATTCTCATTCTCCGATGCCATACAATTCAAAAATTTATTCTTGGAATTAATTGTAGAAAACACTAGAAGTGTGTGTGTGTGTGTGTGTGTATGTGTGTGTGTGTGTGTGTGTGTGTGTCCCTGTACTAAAAAAACCCTTTGTGTAATTGTATAGGAAAATCAATATTTTTCCAAAGCATACACTTTTAAGATTATGTAATCTTTCTTGCTCTGGGATATGATTTTACAAATATTGGATGTATAATAAATAAATACATAAATAAATAAATAAACAAACAAACAAATAGTAAGCAATTTTACTTACTCCTAAAAATTGGTTTCCAGCCCATTCTTTTTCTCCCCTATTTACCTTATATTGTAGATTTCATTTTAATGCATATTGTGAAATAAAAAATGTACAAGGAGTTTAAAGGTACTGCACATTCCTCGGATGCGAAGCACATTAATATACAACAATATACCAGGATTCTGACTTTTTCAGGAATAAACATAAATGCAAGTATCTTGCTCATTCATTTTCACATCATCCCAGACAGCATTTTCCATAGTCTGTTTGTTGTGATATTCTCTGAGAAAGAAAAAGGTAAGAACAAATTCTGATACCTGATTTTGTTTTGTTCAGAAAGGAACATGGCAGTGTTTCTGATTTACAAACCATGACCAAAAAAACCTTAAGACAGAACTTGTCCTTGAGGACTCAAATGGGAGCTAACCAGCATTCTGGTTCACTGTTGCATATGAATGCAGTTACAAATTCAGCTGAATTAAAAAAAAATGATGAAACAAAAAAGAAAAAAGAATAAATGAAAACGTACAAGGGGGGAAGTAGCTCCAGGATGCTGGACGGGCTCCAGGGGCAGAGGAGACTGGGAAAGTACAATTGAAGAGAAAACATATCATTAACAGGAATATCCACCTGGAAAAATAAGACATTTTCATTTCAAAAGACTAGACTTGCATGCACCCATTTCTTTGACATTGTCCAAAGAGTTAAAGGCTACTCGGGAACCCAATTATTGCATATGCTGAGCATTTCCACAGTTGCCTACACATATCCCAACCTCTTCTGAAAATCAATGGAAGTTTCTATTATTCAGCAGGACATTGTAATTAGAGTGTATTTACTATCAAAACACTTAAATCATTCAGTTAGAGAATAAGTTACCATTCTTCAGCTGGCTAACCACTGACCATCAGTGCAAAAGAAACACATCTTTTTTGTAACTGGGGACATAATTATCTACCTGCATCCTTTCCCACACTAAAGTAAACCTGATTGGGGCATGGCTTTCAAGAGAAGCCCTCTCTCCCTAGCCACCCCCAATTTGCAAAAGCCCTAAAAAATATTTTTTTAAAAAACCCCTAACCAGAAAAACAGCTGCATTTTGAATGACAATGCTATGTTTCATTCATATGTACCCATTTCAGCATTATCCTGGCATAACCTCTGGGCTGGCTGCAGAACAATGCTATAAAAATAGCTAAAGAATTTCACAGAGGTTTATTTAGTACCAAACACCAACCTATAAACTGACAGATGCTCAATGGATTAATTGGGAGTTGAAAAGACAAAGCATCTCTTTGAGAGCCTATTGTATTATTGACCTGAAATATGCTTTCCTTCTCCTTTCAGACAACTTTAAATCTGCTTGCAAAGGAAGGTAGTTTATGACCACTGGCTTTCAAAAACTGTATTACTGAATTGTGCATCTATCACAATCTTTCAAGTTCCAACAAAAGTCAACTAGGCCAACACAGATTTTCTTGTGGGCCAGTTCAACCACCTGGCTCAAGGGAACTGCATGAATTAGTTTACGTATCGGATCTCTGGTTATATGCAACCTGTCATGTGCTGTTGTTCCATACCCAGGATGTGTCTATCCCAGCAAACTCAGCATTTGCAAGCATCTGTAATAGTACATATTATCCTTGGCTTTGGACAACCTGCTGGAACAGTTGGAACCCACCAATTCAATGATTCCAAAATCATTGTCTGCTGCTAAGTCTCCTGCCCTGTATAAGTTGCCTAGGTAACCTTGAATTTTACTTTATATGTTATAATGGGATATGATTAACTATTATACTTTTAAAAACTATTATTTTAAAAAGATACTGAAAACAAAAGCTACGTGAAGACTATCAGATTTATGAGCTATTATATTTTATCCCACAAACAGGATTACATTTATCCAGGCGCTGCCAAGATGAACTCCATTTGCATAATAGTATTAGCAATGTTTTTGAATTCTACAAAAGGCACAAATGTTAAGAGCTTTTTAACAGCATGTGTCTCCTAGACAAGCAACTCCAAATCACATCTGTTTTGTTAAAGTGCTATTTCAAGAATCACAAACGTTAATAAAAGCACTTCCAAGACAACATCGGAAAAGCACATGTAAAATGAGATGAACAGCATGAGGTTAAGCTAACAAACAAAACATTCACATGAAGTGGATGACATCTTTGACATCTGCAGTGATATGACACCAATCCAAATGATATGGATAGCACCCAAAAGAAAAGGAATTGGAAGAGAACAATAAAAATGAAAGTATCTGTTTGCATGATTTTACAATGTAGAGAGAGCTGAAACATCTGTTCCATCTGTTCCAGCACTATTCAAAAGACTGGTGTCATTCAACTAAGAACGGAAGTATACAGCAGAAAGGAACAGACAACAACTATGTTTGTACATTCTCTTAGAAATTACAAGGTACACATCATTACAGCTAATCAATGTCATAAAGAATACGCATAGCATTTTCCCAAAACAGAGATTTTTAGTCCTACACTCCGGATTTTAAATATTTGGGGGATGAAGAGAACATTGCATTTTCCTTCATGGAAGTTTTATGGCAATTGTAAAAATTATTACTATTCCTTATCCTTAACACAAACTGCAACAGAATGATCTAGAAGATTTTGCAAATCAATTTGGAATTGGGCAATACATCTCAGAGAGAAAGAAAGTTGTGGATTTTATCTAAGTCTGTTCTTATGCCAAGCATCTTAAATTGGATAATTCTTTAAAATCAGAACTAACAAATTCTGCAACCCCAAAACATTTGAGAACTTGTTTTAAGTGACCACAGAATAAAGCTAACATTGAAGTGAACACACTAAATTTGTTGCTTTGTCTATTGAGAGAAACCATTTTGATATGCTGACTCTCGTTTTCCATCTATAGAATTCTGCCTTCAGGTATATGATGAAACAAGATTCATGTTCAGGTTTGTTTAATCTTATAATATGCTTTGCAACCCTTTATCCCTATGGTATCTGTATTTCTTAAAACCAAAAATCTTCCTGAACTTTCTGGGAAAACATGGGCAACTAAAAAGTGATGACAGGAATACCACCTGAATTGACCTCAACCATAATATAGTTAGTTATTAATCTAAGCTGTAAAGAAGATTCACAATTCATACAGTCTTCAACATTTTTCCCTAACCTAAACTTCAAAAAAACCAACCTCTCCAATAAAGGTAAGCAAATTTTATTTATTTATTATTTATTAATCACGTTTTGGAAACGCCTACCTTCCTTACAGATTGGATGACAAAACATAATGCACATAATAATGTTTACTTTTCCCTTAGTCCACAACCCGCTCCATATTCCACTACACAAAGAAAAATCATTCCTAGGTCAAAACAAATTTCTGAAGTACGGTTCATCAAACATTTGATTTGACTCTGTGCTTTGTAAACAACATTTGCAGCCAAACTGGAAGTTACATTAGATAATTATTGCTTGTATGCTCTTTCATTATTAGCATGGGTGTTTGTGTTTAATTGTTTACTGTGCTGTGGTTTTATTGTTGCACTTTATCGACTTTTAGGAAACAGCCTGAAAACATGTGGAAGTTTTGTTTTATTTTATTTAGTTTGGGCAGCTATTTTTATTTTGGAAGGCAGCATATAAATTCATAAAAATGAGCAAAGGATTTAGTTCAACAAATACAGCCTCCCTTAGCAGATAGATAGAAGGAAAGGAGAGAGAAATAGGCACAGCAATGAATCAGTTCTGAGTCTGAAATGCAGAGAGTAAGTTCAATGGAAGAAAAAGCAAATTATCTTTTGCATCTGTTTTCCTTGGCAAGAAATTGACTTCCTCCTCAGAGTAACTCTGAAAGGCACATCAGTTTATGATGATGACCAAGCAATGATTTGTAACAAAAAAACTCTTCTCCCACCCAAACCGATAAAAGAAATCAGTACAAATGAAAATGTTTGACCAGCACAAACTAGACAATGAAATAAGCTTGCATGGACGAATGCAATGAAATAACTTTATCCCATAGCAAAGATACTGAAAACGGTAAGATGACAAAATTTAAATCAGCATTTTGTGGCACACATGCTTGAAAAGCACACACACATACCTGGCTTTGGTACAGAATTGGTCACTGACTGAGGAACTTTGTCGTTAATTAGTTCAACACATTCACTAGGAAAGAATCCCACCTATAGTGACATATAGAGATAGAAAGAAAAAAAGAGAGAACTTGTATCCATAAGACAGTTAAACAATCTCAACAGAACCATGGAATAAGGACACATGCTGATGATTTTGCAAGGAAGTGATTATTCCAAATCCCTAGAGCAGTGGTTCTCAACCTTTCTAATGCCGCGACCCCATAATACAGTTCCCCATGTTGTGGTGACCCCCAACCACTTATACATCACCGGGTGCCAGGGGCGTGGCCAAAGAAAAGGGAAAAAAATGGTGGACAGCCTTGTTTGGCGACCCCCGTGAAATGGTCGTTCGACCCCAAATGGGGTCCCGACCCACAGGTTGAGAACCACTGCCCTAGAGTGTTCTTCCCCCTGCTTTATATCTGAATAGAGCAGGAGTTTGCTAGACCTGGATTTCATTTGACTCTAGCTATTTTTTCCTGTCCACAGCTTCCAAGACAGAGATGTATTACTCTTTCAAGAATTTTCTCTTACTCTGATATTGATTAGGAAGATTTTCACTTTTTTCCCCCAAAATTTATGCAAACAATATACTGTAAACAGATTACAGAGTAATTTTTTTTTAGAACGAGTATCCATCCTCCACAACTTTTAGAGCCTGCCGTATAAAACTAACCTAATATTTGGACCTACCTGAAATCCATGTTTTCCCCTCCACCAAGTGGTCAGTTCTTTTGGAGGCATATCAATAACAGAAACAATATCTCCAACCTGGAAATGAAGAAATGGAAGTATTTTCTCACTGGGACGCAAAGCACTATCTCGTTGTATACTTTATCGGGCTGGGAATACAAAATCCTTTAAATAGTACTAGCTCTTGCCTATTAAACATGCACCTATAGAATTTGTGAGCACTACACGGCAGACATTTTATATGTTCATAAAAAGAAAATGTTGAATAGCAGCTAAAAGATAAAATAGGCTGCTGGTTAAACTGAGTGTATAGCCACATTGGAAACATAAGTGTGTAAGGAAAGAATATTGAACAAGCTAATTAAAGGTAGTCCTCAACTTATGACCAGCCAGTTAACGATCATTCAAAGTTATAATGGACCCAAATATAGGTACTTACGACCTAAATTCAAAATTCTAACAGACAGTCCCCCTCCCATGGTCATGTGATCACATCTTGGGTGCTCAGTGCTTAACCTGCATTTATGGCTCTTTGCAGCTTCCCACGGTCATATGACCACAATTTACAATGTTGGCTGAAAATCGGCATTTACTTCTGGTTCCTTGCAAAAAAAATGCCCCCCAAAAGCCCATGGTGATTCACTTAATGACTGTCACAAAAAAATGTCAAATCAGATCCTTAAGGTTATATGACCTGCTTAATGACTGGCACAATTACGACCAAATTTCCAGCCTCAATTATGGTCATAAGGACTACCTCTACTTAAAAATCTGCACTTATTTGTCTATTTGTTTCTCTGTCTTCATTCTTAAAATTAAGTGTAGAATGTCAAATTACCGTAATTTTTCCAAACAGAATTAATGTACTGTTATACAAGCAACATGAAGAGCTATCAGAAGCTTTTTAAAAACAGTGTTTAAAAAGACTGACTTTCTCTGGGCAGCATACACTGAAATCATTATATATTTATCCTCCTGTTATTTACCTCAAAGGAGAGTTCGTCTCCTGCCTGGGCGATGTATCTCTTGATAACATGGGCAGCTGCAATAGCAGGAACATTAATGGATGATTCTTCGTGAACCAGGAGGCGATTCCCCTTATTATCAATCTGCAACACAAGGTAGGTGGTGAGGAAGCCAAAGATGTACAGATTTGAGCAGTTTATTTCATTAACAAATTTATAGAGGAGAATTTCATGTTGATTTGTAAAAGAAAGCAGAGCTAAATGGAGCTTCCTGCTGAAAAAAACGCAGAAGTAATAAGCACTGTGCAGAACAACAAACTTCTGCAGAAAGTAGAGCTCTGTTTTATAGGGGTTCCACAACTTCCTTGGAAGGCAGTTCCAGTTAGCACTGGAGGAGGAGGAGGAGGAGGAGGAGGAGGAGGAGGAGGAGGAGGAGGAGGAGGAGGAGGAGGAGGAGGAGGAGGAGGAGGAGGAGGAAGAGGAGGAGAGACCATTTAAGCTGGCCTCTCCTTTCTGGAATATCCCAGGGCTTCGTCCATTATTTTCTACTTTTTAGCATTTCCCATATTTCCCCGAAAATAAGACCAGGTCTTATATTAATTTTTGCTCCAAAAGATGCATTAGGGCTTATTTTCTGGTTAGGTCTTGTTTTCGGGGAAATACGGTACTAAGTGCTAAGCCTGGCTGGTGGGCTTAATTGGGGATTATTTTTTGCGGTGGGCTTATATTACGAGCATCCTGAAAAACCATGCTAGCAGGGCTTATTTTCTGGTTAGGTCTTGTTTTTGGGGAAATAAGGTATGTTAAGATGCTGGGGGAGGCCATGATTAGTCTGCATAGCTAAATCATCCATACATTATCAACTGCTATCCTAAGCAGTGCAGGAGATGCTATCAACTTCTTGATTTAGTTCTAGAGGCTATGAGGGTTTACACAGGACAAAACAGACCACAGCTTAACCCCTGCAAGATGAAGTTCACTACAAATTCCTGACATCTCCAGGATTGCCTCCTGGTGGCAACTCTCCTTCAAAGAGCAGGTCTGAGGACTAAAGGACATCTTGGACTCGTAGCTACTACTATATGGACAGTTGGAAATCAGGGGTCAGGAGGGAGGCAGAGTTATCCAGTTGTGTGCCAGATGCAGCACTACCTGGAATCTGAAGTCCTGGCTACATGACTCATGCCTTCATTACTCCTCACCTAGACTCCTGCAAGGTATTCTACCTTGGGGCTGCCTTCGAAAATTTCAGCTGCTCACTCTCAGCTGCAGGCTGAGAAGCTGAAAAACATCGATCTACCAACATACACTTAACCAGCAAGCCGGTTTATATGGGCCATAATCTCAATGGAGAGGACTTTTTGCTAGGTGACTTGATTCAGGAGGATCTATACAATTAAGGAGGAGGACGTAATTCCTGCTTTTATCTGGGGTAGCCTAAGAGCAGAGGGCCTGGGTGGCCATTTCTAATTTAGAAACCTTCCCTGCTTCCATTCCATTTGCCAGCTGGCAGACTTGCAGACACAAAGCGTTTGATGAACTGAGGAGAAAGTGAAGTGGGCTCTTGTACCTCCATCCATGTGAGAGCAGGACCGCAATTTATCTTGTTGCCGGCAATGGCTGAGAGTCGGGAGAGGTAAGCCATCAGCATCTGGGTAACAAGCTGCAGAGGACAAGGAAAAAGTTGGATAATTCTACCGATGCAGAACATCCCGCCCGATTCCTGTATTTTAGGGACATAACTGAAGCAATCTCTCTCCCCTCCCAACCCACCGTGTGTGTGTGTGTGTGTGTGTGTGTGTGTGTGTGTGTGTGTGTGTGTGTTTGTAATAAATTGATGTAAATATATAGACGTCTCTCTAAACAATTCAGAGGCCCCAGGCTAAAACCAGGAGACAGTGAGTTCTAGTTGCACCTTTAGGCATTAAAACTGGCTGGGTGACTTTGGGCCAGTCTCTCTCTTCCAGTCCAACCCATCTAGAACTTTTAAGCTAGTTACAAAACTTCCATTATTTTTACCTCCGGATTATCCTTCAGGGCATCAGCACGGGGCAGCTCGGAGAGCTGAGAAAAGCGTCGGTCATAAATACATAGATGGAGATGTTTGTCAAGCACTCTAAAGTCTTCATAACTCCTCTTCACAATCCAGCTCTTGCCCTGCAGAGAGAGAAAAACAACAACCCTACAGTGTCATTTCATTCATTCATTCAGCAATGTGCAAGGACTCTATGAACCTGGTTATTATCGGCATTCTTCCCAAATAATCACATTTTCACTCAAACCAGGCTTTGCTAATTAATTTCAACCTCTTATTGAAATTCCTTACATCACTGTATAATATAGTGTTTTGAATGAACACCAATAATATATTAGAATGGCAAGTTAAGCGCAATTTTCCAGAAAAGAAAAGTTTTCGATCAGGATGTTCTAACATAGGCCAGCGAAACATGGACACTAACCTCACAATCAATACAAAAGCTAAAAATGCTGCAAAGAGCCATGGAAAAAGATACATGCTCGGCATCAGATAGAAAGACCTGCGCATGGGTTAGAGAACAAATGAAAATATATGATGCCATCAAAAGAGTAAAAGAATGGAAATGGAAATGGGCTAGCCACCTAGCAAGAAGGACCTATGGCAGTGGACCAAGGCAGTCATAGAATGGATCCCACTTGATAAAAAAATGTCCACGAAAGAGACCTAAAACAAGATGGAGCAACGACATTAGCAAGTATTGAAGATCCAGCTGGCAAAAGAAAGCTCAGGACCGTATTGGTTGGAGACATGCAGAAGAGGATGCAGTGGATAGACAATAGCGAGGAGGAGGAGGAGGAGGAGGAGGAGGAGGAGGAGGAGGAGGAGGAGATTAGAATATGAGCTGAGCCGCCTTAATATGTCAAATTAAATAAATTCCAGCACCCCTTTTCAACAGAAAGAAAAATGTAAGCCAGTTAGTTAAAAATATCTTTGAATGCGGAGATATTAGAACTGAAGTTGGCATGAATATTGAGTAGTTATTCAAATTCTCAATGACAACGACAGTCACAAAAAACAATTGCTTGCCATGCCATGTATTATTTTGGTGTCTTTTATGAACTTTTTGTGGCTTTTGAATTCAAACACTTCCAAATCATATCAAACAGCGTAGACAGGCAAAAAACAAACAAATAACTCAGGAAAACAATTTAATACCAGCAATAACATTTCACGCTGATGTTTTGGATTCTATCTAATAAACTATGACAAAATACCTCACAAAGTATCTTAGGTAGATGTATTTTACTAATGCATTTATCCTACACCCGAATATGGATGCTTTTTTTCCTCGTGTTAATTTTTTAAGCCAATCCTTTAGAAACACATTCAAAGAACGGTTGCTGGAATTGGGTATGTCTAGTTTAACGAAGAGAAGGACGAGGGGGGACATGATAGCAATGCTCCAATATCTCAGGGGCTGCCACAAAGAAGAGGGAGTCAAGCTATTCTCCAAAGCGCCTAAGGGCAGGACAAGAAGCAACGGATGGAAACTAATCAAGGAGAGAAGCAACCTAGAACTAAGGAGGAACTTCCTGACAGTTAGAACAATTAACCGGTAGAACAACCTGCCTCCAGAAGCAGTGAATGCGCCAACACTGGAAGTTTTTAAGAAGAGACTGGACAGCCATTTGTCCGAAATGGTGTAGGGTTTCTGCCTGAGCAGGGGGTTGGACTCGATGACCTCCAAGGTCCCTTCCAACTTCATCATCATCATCATCATTATTATTACTGTGGGTAAGCATCTAAATAATATGTTTGCCGAGGGAAATTATGATTAAGAAGTGTGAAAAAGAAAAAGAGCACATAACCAGGTAACCAAAGAATAATAAAGGGTTTCTAGCATTCAAAATTGTAGCGCTGGACTATTTCTCTTCATGAAATCTCCTTCTGAATGGCAGGATGAACAATATACAGCTTAAGTCTCTGGCTATTTGACAAGAGATTTGCTGCTTTCAACACTTTATTACATTCCAGTCTCTCTTTACAACTTCTAATTTAAACAATTTGCTATCAGACACATTCCAGGTAAAACATGTAAGTACAATAGGTCAGGGAGAGAGGGAAAGGGAAGGAAACTGAGATAAGTGCTGGCAATTCTGATGTAAGAATATTGAGTGCAACACCCAAATATAAATCCGTAGCATGCAGCATTTTTTTAGCGGCACTATATTTGAAATACTTAACAGCCAAACAATGAAAACTGCCAAAGAAATGGATTTATATTTCTTTGAAGATGGGGCTGTGAATCATCTACCAATATAATGAACGGTTTTCTCCCTTCTTGATGACAGCCTCTCCAGTTAAGTGTGTTACTTACTGGTTTAATAGCATCTCTCATCTATGTATCCTGAAATTATTTAGCATTTTTCAGTGCCGATAAATTTATTTTACTAAGAGCATGACTGTTTCAGAGTGGTAAGCAGGTTACTCAAGGTCATCGAAAAAGATATATTAATAGAACAGTTCTGACTAATAGGTATGCTGCATTGAGAATACTCCCGATAGTATTAACCAGCAAAGCTTTGCTGTTCTTTATAAGCAATCGTACTGGGATGACTTTCTAAGGGTGAAAAGTTTTAATAACAATAGCTATGAAAACTTCTTTGGAAAAATCTGAGATAGACTCTTTTCCTACCTACCAGTGAAGATCTTCTGTTTAGTGCTAAAAAAAGTAAAAAAAAAAAATTGATCACCATCTCCCATGTTACCGTGCATGATGCATTAAAATCTTTAGCTGAGAACTATCTTCACTGACACTTCTTAGCATTTCCGTAATTTAAATATAGCCTCTCCTAGGGTGGTATTCTCCAGATCAGGGCTCCTCAAACCCCGGTCCATGAACCGCAACTGGGCTGCGGCATGCCAGCAACTGGTCTGCACAAACAAGCAAAGCCCCATCTGTGGGATGCAGGCAGCACACAAAACCATGCACTCTTCGGTCCTGGAAAAATCTTTCTCCACGGAACCGGACCCTGGTGCCCTAAAGGTTGGTGACCTCTGCTCCAGATAACTTAAGCTGAGAATTGTCAAACAAAAGACCATGTTAAATTTGCAATTCTGGCAATCAAGGCTCAAATGCATTCAAAAAGCACCTGTTGGTGAAAATGTGACCTAATATCACATAGTATGAAGTCTTTAGGTAGAAATAGTTGGTTACTGTAGGAGTAGCAGAACCTGGGAGCAGAGTTAAAATAGGGATTAGCCTAGAATCCCTACGTAGCCACTAATGAAGTCCAACCTCCTTTGAATTCCACTGACCTGCATCTAAATCGAAGCAGCCGCTAACCATTAGTTGAGAAGATTCCTGTGCATAAGCATGACTAGCAATAAATCAGTTTAATTAGACCAGTGGTTCTCAACCTGTGGGTCGGGACCCCATTTGGGGTCGAACGACCATTTCACGGGGGTCGCCAAACAAGGCTGTCCGCCACTTTTTCCCCCTTTTGTTTGGCCACGCCCCTGGCACCCGGTGATGTATAAGTGGTTGGGGGTCACCACAAATGGGGAATTGTATTAGGGGGTCGCAGCATTAGAAAGGTTGAGAACCACTGAATTAGACCTTCATGTGTGGACCCTGGTCTTTCCCAGCTTGACAGTTACAAATCTAACAACATCCATAAAGTGCATGCATTTTTTTCAAACACAGCAAGTTAGCTCCTCATGAACATTGAAGGAACAACTTATGAAGATGGGGCTCCTTTAAAGACTTGAAAGGAAGAAGCTTCATACAAAACAACTGTCTTGGGGACTATGGCTTATTTACATCTAATATCACACTGATGGAAGAGAAGGTTAAAAAGTGGAAACTGATTTTGAGTTCATTTACAGGTACTACCAAGAAGAAAGCAATAGTGAACCACTTCTGTCTTGACCCAAAAGCAACAACATGGACACGTCCATGCAGTTACTAGGAGTCAAAGAAGGAAAACTTTGCCTTTACTTTCACACTTATTATGTTTCGGGGGGCTATTCAGTTAAGTATAACCTTTCTCTACGATTTACAGTTAAACAGTACCTTGCTCCATAATAAACAGAAAGAACTGCCAAGGTACATCACTCACGGAGACTGTAATGGCCAGCCTTTTGTCCAGTCTCTCAACAAAACTGCCTTGACATCTTTTCAGGCTTAAAGGGAGAGAAAAACCAAGCTGGGACAAAAATGGCTGCAATTTCCAACGCTAAAACATTGTTCAGTGTGCTAAAAACAAGAAAAATAAATCTAGCAAGCAGGTCTGACCTGAAGTTTACCTCAACTAAGAAACAGAAATTTGCAGCCGCTGCAAAGAAGATATAAAATACATGAGATACACAAGAAACGTGCTAGTTTTGTCTATTTTCATACACCGTGGATTCATCTGTGAGAAAACGGAGAAATAACAATAGGAGAAATAACCAATATGCCAAAATTGGCTTTCTAATAAATTAATCCAGAATTTATCTCTTAGCTATTTAATTCCTATACTCACCCTATACCCTCCCCAGTTTTCAATATAGACTTTCATACTGTACCACTTTTCAATCAAATGTAATCCCCCAATGCAAAGCTTGAATATTATGATCATTTGTGGTGGGGAGAGGAAGTTAGGTGAGAGAGGAGGAGGAGGAGGAGGAGGAGGAGGAGGAGGAGGAAGAGGAGGAGGAGGAGGAGGAGGAGGAGGAGGAGGAGGAGGAGGAGGAGGAGGAGGAGGAAGAGATCAAAACACTTTTCAACAGTTTATCCATATGGTTATTTTGACAGAAAGATATATGGGGAAACCAAGAAAAGGAATAGAATTTCTTAGTGATACCCAGTCTAAGGTGGTTGAGTGGGAACACAATGTTGTCTTGCTAGTCCAGTGGTTCTCAACCTTTCTAATGCCACGACCCCATAATACAGTTCCCCATTTTGTGGTGATCCCCAACCACTTATACATCAGCGGGTGCCAGGGGCGTGGCCAAAGAAAAGGGGGAAAAAATGGCGGACAGCCTTGTTTGGCGACCCCTGTGAAATGGTCGTTCGACCCCAAATGGGGTCCCGACCCACAGGTTGAGAACCACTGGGCTAGTCAAAAGTCCTCCTCATTTGTTTCAAGCAACCGATAACTTAAAAATAGCATGCTAACATGAAGAAAGAAAAGAGAGAGAGAGAGAGAGAAAAAAACTCATTATGAACTCTCCCGTCACCCACCAAAAGAAAGATGTTTCTGAATCGCAGATATTTAGTGAGGCTAAAAGTAAGAGAATTTCAAGTAGGCCCTGTTAAAAGTAGAGGGTATGAAAGCTGTGATTATTTTTTTTTTAAGTCTACTTATCTGCTACAGACGGAGTTGATAAATTGAAGTGCATTCAGCTACTCAGTGAAGGGAAAGAAACAAATTTTCCAGTCCAGAAGTTTTAAACAGGCTATTGCTAGAAGGGCTCATTTCTTTTGCTTTCTACAATGCTCCTCTTATTCGCAGCAAATTGCTTCTAAGCAGCCGAGGCCTTTGAAAAGTATATGGATATACGCCAATCTAATAAGCTAATTTCTGGATCCAATTTAACCAATGACCATCTTCCACTAGCACATTTGGTTTTTCAGATTTTATAAATAACGGTAACAAACCCAAGACTTTTGTTTATGTCCAATAGCCATGCTGAATTCCTTTTTGTGAATGCCATGGCCTCCTTTGCCCTCATGTAGATTACTCTTTCGAAAGTAGCACAGACTTTGACTGGGAAATGTCAACTTTTGTCTCCATTAGGAACAACATTTGTTCCAGACCAGACAACCTATCAGTCCTAGCAAAGGGGCACTGAATACACACAGATTTTCTCTCCTAAAAGAGGAGGTGTGCCTGGAAAGGTACTCCTGGGGACAGACAATATTTTTAAGTTTGCCACAAGTGAAGTCAATCAGTCAATCAGAATAGAACTAAAAGGGACTTTGGAGGTCTTCGTCCAAATCCCTGCTCAAGTAGGAGACCTTATATCATTTCGGACAAGTGACCGTCCAGTCTCTTATTAAAAACCTCCAGTGATGGAGCGCCCACGATTTCTGATGGTAAGTCATTCCACTGGTTAATTGTTCTCACTGTTACAACCTTTCTCCTTAATTCCAGGTTGCTTCTCTCTTTGATTAGTTTCCATCCATTGTTTCTTGTCCTGCCCTCTGGTGCTTTGGAGAATAAGTTGACCCCCTCTTCTTTTTTGCAGCCTCTCAAACATTGGAATATTGTTATCATGTCACCCCTAGTCCTTCTTTTTTCTAGACTAGCCATACCGTACATCAGTTCTTCATATGTTTTAGCCTCCAGGTCTTTAATCATCTCAACTGCTCTTTTCTGTACTTTTTCTAGAGCCTTATTTTTTATTTTTATTTTTTTGTAATGTGGTAACCAAAACTGGATGCAGTATTCCAGTGGTCAATACTGCATATTATGTATATTGGTTACTGATAACTGCCAGGACTGTACATAACAAGAACATAAATAAAAGTTAAGATAGGTGAATACTGCAATTAATCAGTTAAAACTGTTAAAACAGTCTTTCTGTTAAAATCAGCAGAGCTTAAAACAGTTCTCTCCAGAAGGTTTAAAAAAAAAAGAGAAAATTTCATAGCAATAAAAGTGTTAAGAGGATGAGATGGACTTTTTTTAAAAAAAAAAAAACCCTGGCAGATGAAAAAGAAGGTGAAAGAATATTCTGTAATTGGAAATACAGCTCAGAAGGCCTGTTATGATTAACCACTAGGTCAGGGGTTCTCAACCTTGGCAACTTTAAGACTTGTGGACTTCAACTCCCAGAATAGGAATTCTGGGAGTTGAAGTCCACAAGACTTAAAGTTGCCAAGGTTGAGAACCCCTGCACTAGGTATATTTCAGTGCCTGAGCTCAGGGATATGCAGAATACTGCAGCTGAAAGCCACAAAGTCCGTTATAACCTAGCACAAATACTCAAATTCTCTGCTCTGCAGTACAAGGATTAAATCCTAAACCTCTAAAGCTGTTTTCTGCTTCCAGAATGATCTGTGAAAAACACACATTTTTTCAAGGTTCCAATTAATGTCCTTTGAGGTTTCCTCATATGTGAATTCATAAAACCCACCTACTCTCCCCCTCTCAAGTAATGGCTTTGTTATCCTTTCTGAATATGGGAGCCATGCCTTTATTGTTGTTAGTTGCAAAGTCGTGTCTGAGCCATAGCGACCCCATGGACAACATTCCTCCAGGCCTTCCTATCCTCTACCATCTTCTGGAGTCCATTTAAGCTCACACCTACTGCTTCATTGACTCCATCCAGCCACCTCATTCTCTGTTGTCCCCTTCTTCTATTGCCCTCCATCTTTCCCAGCATTAGGCTTTTCTCCAGGGAGTCCTTCCTTCTCATTAGGTGGCCAAAGTATTTGAGTTTCAACTTCAGGATCCGGCCTTCTAAAGAGCAATCAGGGTTGATCTCCTCTAGGACTGCCTAACTTCAGTTATTCCTCAACATGGCCACAGTTTGGGTCCAGGATTTCTGTTGTTAAACAAGGTGATTGTTAAGTGAATTGCACCCAATTTTATATTTTTTTGTCACAGTTGTTAAGTGGGTGTTAAGTGAATCCGGCTTTCCCCATTGACTTTGCTTGAAGGAAGCCAATTGGGAAAGTCATAAATGGTGATCACATATTCAACACGTATAGAGCAAATGATTAATAGGTTAGCATAGGTTGCAGAAACATTCTGAGTAAAGTCTGAATCATCACTTTATGGATACTCCTCAGCGTAATTGAATTTCTCGTTGTATGCAGGTCCAACAAAAATAAGTGAGTGATTCCAGGGCAAGTGGATCCAATTTAATAGTTACTCGGGTGTTTCCTGAAACCCAATATTAACTTCAGGTGTTATAAACAGTGGGAACCGTGGGAGAAAAAAAATCAGCCAACTATCATTCAGCTCATGACTTTTCATAAAATCAAGAGAAGAGGGGTAATATTATTTACCTGACAAGAGATTTGTACCAGGTAGACAAGTTCCTTGGACTCACAGCCATTTCTTGTTACTTCATTCTGTTCCTCGGGGAGTGAAAGCTATTCCAAAAGGAGGTGGGGGGAGAGAGAAAGAGAAATACAGAAAGACTAGGTCAGTTAACAACGGTAAGCCAAACCTATATAAAAAATAGAGCATTTAAATCCAACTTGCTTCAAAATGTATTTTATATCAAAGAAACAACTATTATAATGTGGGCTGGTTGTTTTGGTTTTGGCTTAATAGATTGGAAACATTCTATACTCTGGTATAAATCCAAGAACATGCATCTTGCTAGATCAAACTTCTTAAATCGCCAATACAGTTCAAGAAAGTTCAAATAACAACTAAAAATTCCTAATCGGTGGGGGTTTTGGGTACTAGGTTCATAGAAACAGTTCCACAATCCCTCAATATTTAAGGCAATCTTCTCTATCTAGATACTTAATCATCTTTGAAGATTAAATAGTAAAACATTTCCAGATGCCTGCCTGCCTGCCTGCCTGCCTGCCTGCCTATCTATCTATCTATCTATCTATCTATCTATCTATCTATCTATCCATCCATCCATCCATCCATCCATCCATCCATCTATCTATCTATCTATCTATCATCTATTTCTATCTATTATATATATATAATTTACCAGAGACATGATTGAATAAAGTATTTCGGAAGATCATTTAAATTTATTGATTTCTCCTACAAAGTATCAGGCAAAATCTCCCCTAGCCTTTACACATTTGTGACATGCAGAAATGTGGGGATTTGTGTACCACCGGTAACCCTCGATTTACAACCACAATTAAGCTCAGAATTATGATCGTTAATCAAGATGGTGGTTAAGCAGGATCATCATGTGATCATGCCCAATTTTACAATCTTTTTTGCAACAGTTGTTAAGCGAAAGTCACGATCATTAAGCAAATCCATTGTTCACAATGGCGGTTTCCAGCATTAAAAAAAAAAAATCTTAAAGCGCAGTCATGTGGCTGTGGGTTGCCACAAACGGCTATAAATGTGGACCAGTTGCCAGGAACCCAAAATGCAATGCATGTGTGTGAGAGAGAGAAACAGACACACACACACAGAGAGAGAGAGAGAGAGAGAGAGAGAGAGAGAGAGAGATAGAGACAGAGACAGAGAGAGACCTTCTTCCGGAAAAAAAAAAAACTTTCAAATCGCCATTTTACTTTCACTCTCCACACAAGCAAAGAACAAAGAAAAAAAGATCGACCTAAACTAAAAAGCAAATAAAATCCAATAAGTCCATTCCTTTATCCAGCTCTGTCCGCTTTTAAAAATCACTCACCCGGTCCCTTTAAGCGCGGAGATGGTAGCGGCGTTTCGCTTTGTTCCCGAAGGAACAAAGACAGCTGGGAGGCGGAGGCAGCCCGAACTCCGAGGGAGCTCTCTTTCCACCCCCCAAAGAAAAGTTCCTGCGGGGTTTAAGAGGCTCTACCTCTATTTGGGTGGTTCTCTTCCCCCTCCCTTCACCCGGGAGGGAGATTTCGAGCCGCGGGACAGCTGGTGTCTGCCGTACTCCGCGGTTCTCACGCTCACCCAGGAGGACGGTTACAAAGTAGCCGCCATCATCGACGCTATCCACCGGAAGCCAGAAAAGTCAGTGGTAACCATACCCAAGCATTCCGAATTTGTTGGTGACGTCCATTTTGCTCTAGGAGTTCATGGTGACCTAACCCTAACCCTAAGTAGAATTTTCCTCCAATGGGATTTTCCCATGTATTTTACCAGGAAACATAGATAAGGCAGGCTAGAAAAGTCAGTGCCCTCCTAACCATACCCAAGCATTCCGAACATGTTGGTGATGTCCATTTTGCTCTAAAATACATGGGAAAATCCCATTGGAGGAAAATTCTACTTAGGGTTAGGGTTAGGTCACCATGAACTCCTAGAGAAAAATGGACATCACCAACAAATTCGGAGTGCTTGGGTATGGTTAGGAGTTCATGGTAACCTAACCCTAACCCTAAGTGGAATTTTCCTCCAATGGGATTTTCCCATGTATTTTACCAGGAAACATAGATAGGGCAGGCTAGAAAAGTCAGTGCCCTCCTAACCATACCCAAGCATTCCGAATTTGTTGGTGACATTCATTTTGCTCTAGGAGTTCATGATGACCTAACCCTAACCCTAAGTAGAATTTTCCTCCAATGGGATTTTCCCATGTATTTTACCAGGAAACATAGATAGGGCAGGCTAGAAAAGTCAGTGCCCTCCTAACCATACCCAAGCATTCCGAATTTGTTGGTGACATCCATTTTTCTCTAGGAGTTCATGGTGACCTAAACCCTAACCCTAAGTGGAATTTTCCTCCAATGGGATTTTCCCATGTATTTTACCAGGAAACATGAATACGGCAGCCTAGAAAAGTAACTTCCCTCCTAACCATACCCAAGCACTCCAAATTTGTTGGCGATGTCCATTTTTCTCTAGGAGTTCATGGTGACCTAACCCTAACCCTAAGTGGAATTTTCCTCCAATGGGATTTTCCCATGTATTTTATCAGGAAACATAGATAGGGCAGGCTAGAAAACTAAGTGCCCTCATAACAATACCCAAGCACTCCGAATTTGTTGGAGATGTCCATTTTTCTCTACGAGTTCATGGTGACCTAATCCTAACCCTAAGTGGAATTTTCCTCCAATGGGATTTTCCCATGTATTTTACCAGGAAACATAGATAGGGCAGGCTAGAAAAGTCAGTGCCCTCCTAACCACACCCAAGCACTCCGAATTTGTTGGTGACATCCATTTTGCTCTAGGAGTTCATGGTGACCTAACCCTAACCCTAAGTGGAATTTTCCTCCAATGGGATTTTCCCATGTACTTTACCAGTTAACATAGATAGGGCAGGCTAGAAAAGTCAGTGCCCTCCTAACCATACCCAAGCACTGTGAATTTGTTGGCAGTGTCCATTTTGCTCTAGAAGTTCATGATGACCTAACCCTAACCCTAAGTGGAATTTTCCTCCAATGGGATTTTCCCATGTATTTTGTCAGGAAACATAGATAGGGCAGGCTAGAAAAGTCAGTGCCCTCTTAACCATACCCAACCATTCTGAATTTGTTGGTGACGTCCATTTTTCTCTAGGAGTTCATCGTGACCTAACCCTAACCCTAAGTGGAATTTTCCTCCAATGGGATTTTCCCATGTATTTTACCAGGAAACATAGATAGGGCAGGCTAGAAAAGTCAGTGCCCTCCTAACCATACCCAAGCACTCCGAATTTGTTGGTGACGTCCATTTTGCTCTAGGAGTTCATGGTGACCTAACCCTAACCCTAAGGGGAATTTTCCTCCAATGGGATTTTCCCATGTATTTTACCAGCAAACATAGATAGGGCAGGCTAGAAAAGTCAGTGCCCTCCTAACCATACCCAAGCACTCCGAATTTGTTGGTGACATCTATTTTGCTCTAGGAGTTCATGGTGACCTAACCGTAACCCTAAGTAGAATTTTCCTCCAATGGGATTTTCCCATGTATTTTTTTTTAATTGAAAATTTTTGAAATTTTACAAAAACAACCCTGCCCAACCCTGCCCAACCCTTCCATTCCCTCCCCCAACCTTCCCAGAGCTGAATATAGGCTTAATTGAAATTTCTTCAAAAAAGCCATTATCATTGTTAACATAGCAAATAAACATTGATCTGTCCTAACTAGGGAGGACATTATGCAAGACCAAGGTGTGAATGAATGTCCAGCCAGCCATGAATGATTGGGTATTATGTGTCAAAAAGATTAGGAGATACCAACAGGATTTTTTTAGTAGGAAGCTGGCCCTAATTTTATGATGTCTCCAACATTAAAAACAGCCATCTTCTTTGACTGCTTTCTTGTACAAATCTTTCTGGGATTACTTTTCTTCAGATAAAGAAGAATAAATTGTTTAATGCTTTCCAACATTTAAAAAAAACCTAAAAATTCTGACACATCTATAGTGGAGCAGAGCTGTTACTTCTTCTCTGAAAGAAATGTGGTAATCCACATAAAGGAAACTCCTTTTGAGGGAGGGAGGGAAGAATATTTAAAAAACATATTTCCTCAAAACAATCTGGAGGAGCCAGAGATTTATTACAGCCCAAGACCTATGATTTTTGCAGAACTGATAGCTCAGCTCCAGCAGAAAGACAAGAACTACACCTATGAGAAATAAATTCAACACATTTGATCTGATATTTACCCAAACTGTTTCTTTCTACTGCACAAATTTAGCAACACTTTTACCAAATCACAATATTGGAAAAGCAAAGTCACTGACAATAGAATAGCTAGTAGACAGAAGGGGAGTTTTACAACAGAAATCTTTCTAAGAAAACTTTGCAGATTTATGCATACAAGATCTATTACGCAAGGGACACATAAAAATTAAGGTAGAACAATATTTTTTTTAAAAAATAAAACCAGTGGAACCAAAACAGTTGATGAATTTCTCATCACTACATTACTCCACAGCACATTTTTAGAGAAGGTCTAAGTAAATGGTTATCTAAAGCAGTAATACCTGGGCATACATCTCTACATTTGCTACCCTCTCTTTGCCATCTTTCTTTAAATGTCATTAACCGGGCTTCTTAGGGGCCTTTTCTGCAGTAGTCCTATTGGCAAAGGCAACCAGTTTCATTTGGGATGTGTCAAGTCTTACCCTTTGTGCTCAAGCAGTCCGCTGAATGGACTTTATTGCTGTGTGCAGGTCAATATTTTAATCGTTACTGTATAATGGTTTTCATTATTATGTTTATATTATACTTTTCATTGCCCCTATATTTTTAAGGAATAGTGCCTGTAAAATGGAATCTACAATTAAAAACAAGTTTTCTTTCTCATCCACATAAGGGGCCTTTTCCTTGGTGTCAGCTTTATTTCTATGCGGTACATCACATCTGAAAACAATCATGGTTTTCAAAAGCTCATCTCCAACAGAAACATTGAGGTATACAGTATGTCAGTCAGAGTATTTCTGTAGCCTGATTCCAACAAATTTTGCTTTTATAAAGTGTACTGCTATATACAAGCAGACAGGGCATATGCATAAGGCATTT